ATTGCAATGATATTTGTCCCTGGCGTGTGTTGAGAGTGAATGTATTTGTTTCCAATTTTAATGGCAAGATGGTCGAGAAGAAAAATTAGTGTCACGCGCGGGATACTAGTGAAGGTCGTGGGTTCGCGTCCCGCTCGTGAAAGTAGCTTTTCTTCTCAACCAACTTTGCAAAAAAATAATAATAAACAGATAATTAATTAAATAATTTATTTATTGGAGTGAATGTGCAGTATGAGAGGGCCAATGGTAGAATACTGATTACCCCATCGACCCTCTACTTGATTAGTTATAGTATAAAATAGGTCCAAAGTGTGATAAGAGAATATCGACTACTTCACCACCCAAATTCAGTGAATGGTATGTAAATAAGTAAGAACGTATTTAAGTGGAAATGGATTTAGAAACTGATTGCGTTGGGGGCGGAAATGTCCTAGCTGTTGGCAGCGTCTGAAGCCCAACCTTGGTGGCTGCACGGATAAGGCCTGACCCCACACTGCCAAACCACAGAAATGGGCAGCATGTTCAGTCTTGTCCATATATGTATGCATGTGCACGTACGTCGCGAGGCCTGCCGGTAATTTATTGTAAATTACAAAAGCTGGAATTGGCTATGGACTTTGAGAAGTGATGGACTTAACTCTGTATCGTAATCGCCCATTATGTAAATCTGTAATCACTTGAATCACTTTTGCTGTTCATTTTTATGTTGTGTGATGTGATCATTTGGCTTTTTGTCTAGAAGAACTGTAGATATTTAAATAGTTAAATTAATTTTAAAATCGAAGTAATAAGTATTATACACTTTTTGTTGAAGTAGTGAGGAGCTTTTCTTGATCGTTCCTCACAACTTCAACAAATTATTAAACAACAGGTCACAAAGAAACCCATATTATACACTTTCAAATAAAAATGTCTTTAAAAAGTCTGAATGTTCAATTAATTTGTACGGCTATACTACATCGATTATTAAATACAATTATGTAATTATAACAAAAGGAAGTAAGTAATAATTGTAAAATTATTATGAAATCATTGAAATTATTGAATATTTCGACTGTTGAATTATCTTTAAAAAACATCATGATTGGTGTTTCAAACACTGGAATAAATATGTACAAAAGATATGCTTATTTATGTACCATTTTTTTAAAGGGAGGATTCCCAGATTGTTTTAAGAATGAGGTAAAGTTACACGACACCCTACCCAACCTTCAGTTGGCTTTTCTTTTCAAAACGGTGAACAAACAAAAACGCCTCAACGTTTTGCAAATTAACTGTAATTCAATATTTGCCTTTTCCCATTGCCATTATTCTCCGGCTCCCGGGCAAATTCAATTTACATGTAATTTCCTTCTATTTAACTTAATCGACAAGAAATTGTACCTGCTGCTGGGGAAAAAGTGAATGGTGCGCCTTTCTCTGGTCGGTCTGACAAAAGTTGGAAGAGAAAAAGAAAAAGAAAAAGAGAGGAATGGAAAACACTTTTCTGAATTAAGCCATTTATTTCAATTGGTCTGTATTCTTTATAAATCGCCGAGCAATCGCACCAAAAAACTCTTTTCTTCTTAAACATAAATCAAAGTTTTTGTTTTCAATGATTTTGTACAATAATTGTAAGCAAGAAGTAAATCCTCACAATAAACTGCACAAAAATGAATAGGTATATTCGTAATTTATTCCTATTCTATTAATTTTAATTAAATTAGCAGACATATTCTTATTAGTTGGGTAAAAAGATTAAAAAAACAAACCAAAATCAAACAGATGTTAATCCTCATTTTTAATAACGGATTTACTTAAGAATAGTAAACGTGAAGATTTCTTATTTTGTAAACAGTCACCTTTTCTCGTCGTTTCTCCATTTTAAACCAGTTGGATTCACTTCAAACATGGAAAGACAAAATCTTGAACCGGAAGTTCGCAATTGTGAGAATGAGTCATCGAGGTCACCGGCAAATGGTTATCGCAGAGGCAGTTGGCGTTTCTCAAAGCGTGGTCTCTCGGGATTTAGCCCGATTTCGAGAGATTGGAAGTGCTAATTGATGCCTGGCAGTGGATCTCAGCGCATTACGACGCTAAGGGAGGGCAGAAATATTGCCAGCGAAGCAACACCGAACCCTTTCCATAGAGCCTGTCAGTTCCTCAAAAAATACAAGATCGTTTGGCAAGACCAAGTTGGCTTCACATCGAATGCCCCTTTGAGGCGACCTGCAGCAACAGCCCGCCACCAGCAATTCAGGAGAATATGGTTCAGCAAGCTCCTAGAATAGATATGGATAGGGAAAAAAGAGGCGGCTATAAATCTACTGTGCTCCCATTTTATTTATAACTCACTGGTCAGCTTCAAGTTATTCACTAGCCTCCAAAGCTTTCCCAGTGGCACCTTAGCGTAGGATCTTGTTTGTGGTTTTTCTTGTTAGTTGCAAGTACCGGCAACTACATAGACCTTCACAGAAACATGAAATGTGTTCTGCGGTCTCCTTCTCTTCCTGGCAGTATCTGCACAGTGATTCTTCTGTCTTGTACTCTTATCCGGTGCATGTGCTATCTTCAGTGGGAGTGCCCTGACAGTAATCCAACCAGAATCCTGGTTCGGTTGCGGTTACCTTCCAGTAATTCTTTTGTAAGTTTTGCGGATGGTCCTTCTATGAATCTCTTCGCGTGCATCACACCTGTGATATTGTTTCACCAGGTTTTGGACTCATTAATGATCTATTTTAAGATGTATCCTCTTTTGTGGCAGGCTGCTAAGCCGCAGTAGGATTCTGGGCCCAGAGAGGCCATGTTGGCCCCCTTTTTCGCCAACATGTCAAACTTTCGTTGTCTGTATGCCCCAATTGTCCAGAGACCCATGCCAGGATGAGGTCATTAATGTCACTGACTTCCCTCAGGACCTCCATGCATTTCCAAACCTCCAAGCCCAGAAGAGAACATCAATTGGAATGCTGTTGTGTTTACTGATGTGTCGCGTTTCTGTCTGTATAATGATAACAAGCGCCGAAGAGTCTACCGATGGGGGATAAGTACAGCGGATGCGTACAATGCCCCAGTTCGTTCTCCTTTCAGTGCAGTTTTGCGGCGGTGGTTTGAATGGTCTGAGCTAGTGGAGAGGACCAACTGGACTCCACGTTGTTGAAAGCAACCACATCGCAATCCGTTATGTCTAAGAAATTATCGAGGAATACATCCCTCAAACCAGGGATCTCATTCGCATGGATTTTCGATTTCTGGATGACAATGCCAGACCTCTAGGGGCAGAGTTGTTCATCAAAGTTTGTGGAAGGGGGAAATTCCACCATTTCTCCAGATCTCAATCCCAATGAACACATGTGGGATGCGTTGCAGAGAAGGCCTTTCGATCACCATCCGCAGCCAGTTGACATGAAACAACTGAGTACAACTGATTGCAACATCTATGGAGCGAAATTCCTTATGAAATTAGTGACAACCTTATTAACAGTATGCATAACAATAATACAAAACAAGTTTTTAAGACTAGCCACCTCGTCCCCACGTTACACAAGGCTCACAGACCTGCATGCTTTAGTTCAAATGCCATGGATTAAGGAGGAATTAAAATTCAGGACCCAAAAATTTTTTTCTCAAAAAGCCTACAGCGAAAACTCCGTATGTGCTTCAATCGGCACATATGATTGTCTCAGATCTTGGAAGCACAGGAGAATAAAACATATTTTAACTTATTTAACTGTTACTTAATAACTTATGAAAATATTTAACCACTAACCTACTGATTTGTTAATTTATTATACTGTTAACTTGTTAATTTGTCAATTTGTTACTAATTTGTTAAACTAACTTATTTATAATTATTTAAACTAACTTATTTATTTATTTATTTTAAACTAAATATTCATGTACTATATTAGACCAACTTACTAAGTTACTACATATTTTTGCTGACATTTGTTATAACTGTTATTCTTATTTAAATTAATAATTAGTTCTTCCAGTTTTTGAACAATACTGTAACGACTTGTTAAAGCAAAGGATTTGCTAAAGTAAAAGTTAATGGGTTTTTCGTGAACATTTTCCCATCAACATCGACAATAATGTTTTTCAGGAGGTATGGTACACAAATGGAGATATGCTAAAGAGGACGCATAGGGCCCCGCCACTTTCCCTCAAAAACACATATGTATGCAAATTTCTTATTGTTAGAAAATATCTTGTCAGACAAATAAATAATAATAATAATAATACTCAGAAGTGTTAGCTAACAGAGGACGTTATACACGGCATGTTTAAAAAAAAATTATAGTGTCCAATGAACAAAATGTTATTTTGATATTTTTCGAAATCCCTTAATTTAATTTTCCTTCTGTAAAAACAGTAATTTCTAATAAATTTTAATGTAATTTATAATAACAATAAAATAAAAATGCTAGGGAAAGAAAATACTACAAAATTGGCCATATCTCTTTTTCATTTTTGAGCTGTTTAAAACATATTAAAACTACCTACTTAATTTATATGCAAAAATAGTAAGTAGTGTTTGGGACAAATGATTGACTGATTTATGTTGTAAGTTACATGTCAACATTATATCCTAGGCGGTGTAATTTATGACAAAAGCTTGGAAATTGAGAACTACCTCACAGCTAACAACATCCTAAATTAAAAATCAACATCATCGATATCATTTGGCAAATTTATAACAGTATATTTTCCTTCTTTCATAGATTATTTAATATTTATGGAAATATTTAAAATACTAATGTGATAAATTAAGCAAAATTTTTGATATTTAGTAAACATAGTAATACATGTTGTAATTAATAATATATCATAATTTTATTCTATTATGTAGGGTTGGAACAAAAACTTTCAGTTTATTTAAGTTATTTTTTTTGTAGACTCGATAATAAGTAATAAAATTTATCTCGAAGAAAAAAGTAGATTTTCATTCATTTTCATCAATTCCTCAAAAGTCTTAGTCAAATTTATAATTGGCATTTGTAAAGTTTTAAATTCGATTTCAGGTAGAGACGGTGGCCAATTTTCGGACCCAGGGGGAGGTGACGACGACGACGGAAGCGCAGAAGGTGAGAGCGTCGTCGGCGAGGAGAAAGACCCCAAGAGGCGGAAAAAGGGTGACTCGAAAGGATCAGGGGGAAAACCTAGGAGAGCAAGGACTGCATTCACCTACGAACAACTTGTGGCCTTGGAAAACAAATTTAAAACGACGAGGTGATTTGGATTATAGATAAAAATATACTCTTTTGAAAAACCGGGTAAAATATGTAGACAATTACGACATGAAGTTGTTAAGCAGATATTAACAATTGAACTTGAGAAAATAAGCTCTTTTTCAAAATTAAAATGGCTTAACAACTTTTCTCAAAAGATTATTCAGAAATCGTGAGATGTGGTCTGGTGTCGCTTTGAGCCCTGAAGATGATCTCAATAAAGATCGAAACGTTGGCCCGATAAAGAATATGTTTTTCTGAAATCTACATCACACCATACCGCATCTCACGATTTCTGAATAATCATCGACCAACGGTCACTAATCACCACACACGTTTTTCAAAAGGATTAAACTTGAAAAATGTAGACATAAATTTGTTGTTAATTAATTTAGGCTCCTTTATAAAGCAATGCATGCTGACAAGGTCATAATCCTCTCAGTCTGGTTTTTTCACTTGTTTCTCTTCTCCATTTTTATCCAGTGCATTTTTTATCTTCTAGCTTCTTAGACCAACCACACTTCCCTTGCACCCTTCACATATTATAACATAAATTTTCGCATCAATTTATAATTCATACAAAAACAACATGCCGGGGTCACCATGGTACTCTATATTCCGTTGGGAACCTTTCATCATTCACACGAAAACCTAGTCTAAAAACACCATCATCATTCTTGCAGACAGGAGTTATTTGTCAATATTTCGCACTGATATATAAATAATAAACTATTTACAATTGAAAACATGGTCCATTCCAACATTCCACCAAGATAATTCCATATTCATACCATACACAAACAAAAAACCTAGGTTACCGGTCGTCGAGGTATTTGTATCGTCGAGTTGCCTGTTTTCATTCAACCAACATTTTCGCTAATAAATACATTCATGCTTACATAATTATAAGGTATGATATATGTGAAGAGGCTGATTAAATTAGATTATATGCATTCACACCTTACATATTGAAATATTTTCCCGATAACGTTTTTTTTCATCTGAGGGTAGACAACACCGTTCTCTATGTATTTTTAAAACACCAACCCTCCCGGACTTGAGAAGGTTCAAAGAACGTCAATGCATTTAAGTTAAAAATGAAAATGACAAAGCGTGGTTATTAAAATTTAGCAAAAAATTGAATCTGTTATTTTTATAGACAAATTAGTTTTTAATTTCTAGATAAGTTTATTAATTTTATTAATGTTCTAACTTCTGATAATGATTTTTACAGATATCTCTCTGTTTGCGAGAGGCTGAACCTTGCGCTTTCGCTGTCCCTGACGGAGACCCAGGTGAAGATCTGGTTCCAGAACAGGAGGACGAAGTGGAAAAAGCAGAACCCCGGGATGGACGTGAACAGTCCGACGGTGCCGCCTCCGGGGGCGGGTGGGCCCGGCTTCTTTCCGCACCACCTCGGCTACCCTCCGCACTACCCGCCGCCGTTCGCTCAACAGGGCTATGGATATTTTCACCATCTCGGTGCACACCACGGGCTGGGGCATAACGCGTGAGGACACTTGCTCCAAGTGCTTCAACCGTGCCAAACTAAGCTTTAAATGTATTCTTGTCGATTTGGAAAATATAATTGGACAATTTATGCTGGATTATGGGGTTTTAAATGAAATTACAATATTTTCAACCAAAGACGAGATGTTCCTAGATTGTTTACGTTGTAGTCCTGTCTTCACTCAATACAAACGAGAAAAAAAACCTTCAGAAGAATTTCATTATCTCATATCAAAGAACATATATTTATCTATGTATATATCCTAATTTTACCGACATCCCCTCCACAATATTTATGACGTGATGTCCGTCTCAAATGTTGACGCACGCACTCATTCACGCAAACACACAAATACAGGCACACGCCTATCATTATTTTAAATAACTGTGTTTTAAACGTTTTAAACTTTCACTTTACACAAATCTCTCTCTCTCTCTCTCTCTCTCTCTCTCTCTCTCTCTCTCTCTCTCTCTCTGTGTCTTTCGTTCTCTCTAACAATAATAATTCATCATTTATTTTTTTGTTTGTATAAATTATTTCTATATTTTTCTTTAGACTTGAATCAGAATGTAAAAACTAAGAACAATATTCTTAAAATCATTCAAAATATCTTTAAAAAAAATCACGAATGAAGTCAATAATAAGAAATAATAACACAGTTTAAACAGTAATACAGCAGGAGGAAGATGGAAAATCCGTAGACATTCAATAAAACTTTAAATTCTAAAGAATTTTGAAATTTTTCAAATATTCATTGGCTCATTCCTAGTTGTAAGGAGTAAATTGCTTTAATTAATTTATTTGCGGTCCTATTATTATCACGCAATTGTCAATAGTAATACTTTGCTCAACTACACTCTATCTCTATGTCTCTCTTTCTCAATCAATCTCTAAAAACAGACTTTTCAAGAATTTTTTTGTCAAAGGACTGGACGAAAGCTTAAACAATCTGGCATCACGAGTTTCCAGAATATCATAAAATAATTCATTTTTATCGGTGATTACATCAAGTCACCAAATTTCTACAAAAATATATTTGTCGATTATGGATACGTATTAAGCAAGTCGAAAAATTGATACTCATTTAAAAAAATCATCAAACGATTAATGTTAATATGATGTTTTTGTTGTTTTATTGAAGCAGTTCTGAACCGTATTTATTGTATAATTGACTAAAAAAGTTGTATACCCAAAGTTAGAATAACTCAACATATTTGTTTCTATTTCCTCTTGAAAATTCAAATGTTTTTACCAATTTTGTCATTATTTTTCTCAGAAATATCGCTGCTCGGGAGAAACAATAAATGGGTGATGATGGGGGCAAAATTCGTCAAATGGTTTAAAACCGACTGTACATATAAGCCTTGTTGTTATGTTATGTAAATTTTGTATAAAAAGAATAATTGTAATTAATTTAGCCGGTGAGTATTTATTATATACAAAATAAAAATAATGAAGTCTGAACGGGAAAAGTGCGAATGTTAGTTTTTAAGTGAATTTAAGACAAAAATTATATGAAAAAAAAACAAAAACAAATATGTATATGTGTTTATTGTGTATGCATGTTTTAAATGTACGCATGTTCAGTATAAACTATTTTACAAAATATGTGTTTTTTAATTATACAATAAAATAAAACCTTGCTCACATTTTCCTTTTAACAAATAATCAAATAAGATATGATATAAACTGTAAGATCATAATAATAAAAGTATAATTTTATAACCAAGTTATAATATTATAAGATTAACCAAATTAGGGGCCTTGTTCAAAAAATACAGAATTATAATGTATCATGAAGATATTGTTCTAACGATTGACATATAAATAAATTTAACTGGTTTGTATAGTAGAATGAAATAATAAAAGTTAAATCGTTAAAGTATAACAAGATTTCGCAAATAAATGGACATATCAATAAAACTATGATCCATAAAGCATCACCTTTGGTTAAAAACACACCTAATAAAATATATTATTATTACATCATAATATAAAGTGTACACATTTTAGATTCCAAATTACAAATACATTGTCATTACTTTTACTCACCTTGCAAGTTTGGTGATCATATTGTGATAAGAAAAATTCAGACAGTTCGCAAATCCAATTTTATAATAATAGTTTCTAAATTCCTTTCAGAATATTTCCATTACAAAGAAAATAGCTAGGCACTACGATATCATGGATGACGATTCTGGTGAGACGAAGATTACTAAAAAGTTTCAAGTGCGGTGTATTATTGCAGGATTGCTTTCTAGAAATTAATCAGATAATCAATATTTTGCTTTTAATAATTCATTGATATTAATAAATTTTATTAGATTTCGTGGTCCGCTTGACCAAATAAATTTTTTTCAATTAATTAAGGTTTTGGTTGAGATAAAAAAGTCAGTGGCACAAGCGGGATTCGAACCCACGACCTTCCGCTAAATACGCCGCTGCTCTACCACTTGAGCTGTCACATCGATCGACTCGGAGACTAACTTCCCATCTCAACCGCACCTTTTGAATTTTCCCAAAAGGACTTTGAAAAAGGAGGGAAAATTGAGAATCATCGTATTTGATGCGATCTAGGAGAGACTTTTTGATCTTTTCTGTATAAAGTATGCTTGAAACTTTAATCATTAATGTTTCTGTCCCCCAACATTCTTAAATCATCTCTACACATCGATTATGAAGACATAAATATATAAATAATAAAAATAAATTTGTTTTTCACACCAAGACATTTACCTAAGTATGACCGATAGGTATTTTAAGCGAGACTGAATCTTTTCCTGCCTCCGTCGTAACCTCCTTAACTCGATTCGGTGTTTCAAATTTTAAAAAAGGGTTCCCGGTTCGAGGGATGTTGTTGACTACCGATATTTTTGCATCGCAAACTGTATAAACTCTAGATAGCATCGCGGTATGTAACAGCATTGCCAAATATCTTGCGAACAAAGCAAATATAAAAAAATATAAATAAAAACATTTATTTAGAAATCGTGAGATGCGGTCTGATGTGATGTAGGTTTCAGAAAAACATTTTCTTTATCATGCCAACGTTTCGATCTTTATTAAGATCATCTTCAGGGCTCAAAGTGTTTGTCTTCTGTGTAATTGTGCCATTCTTGCGTGTCGTGTCGAGAGTGTCTCCACCTGAGATGACTGAGCCCTGAAGATGATCTCAATAAAGGTCGAAACGTTGGCACGATAAAGAAAATGTTTTTCTGAAACCTACATCACACCAGACCGCATCTCACGATTTCTAAATAAATATCGATTAACGGTCACTAATCACCACACATAAATAAAAACGTTAAGGAGAAACACTCGTTATTTTTCAAAATGTAAACTCTAACATCAAGTGTCTAAATTAAGAAAAAATTACGCATAACAGTTACTTAACGGCCTCTTCAGCAGAAAAACAGTTAAGCACTAAATTTATTCACAAGAGGCCATTTTTGCACTAAACTTGAGGAAAGATGCTGAGTCCTTAAAAAATGTCTTCCAGAGCTGACTACCACTAGCGAAAGGTTCAAGGAAGTTAAATTGAATTGCCATGGGTTTTATTTTGTTAACTTTCAAAAATTCTTTAATATTCTTTTTATTGCTAATTAGTTTAACAACAAATTGTTAACCAGTCTGCTATGATATAGTGAAAGGTTATATTCTGACACATAATGATTAATTATTAATATACATTGTAATTATTTAATGCAAAATATATGATTCTATTTAACATAAAGATAAAACGGCGACTATCAACAAATCTTAATAACAATTTTCATTGTACTAGTGCTTGCACTTTTTTCTTGTGTTTATGTGTGTGTAATTATAGTTAACGCCTAATTTCTAATAATAGGTATGCAAAAGACATCGTTTAAAAATAAATTCCTCAATGTGCTTGCAAGTAGTCTGTTTCATAAATCTTTTTACTGCTTTTAACTTTGCACGTGTCCCCTTGCTCCAGGTCGGGAACAGTAAGTGCCTCTATAATTTATAAACGACCTTAACTGGTTTTGTAGACTATATTTAATATGAGACAGTGGCAGTTAATGGAATATATAAATAAGTACAAAGTGAATGTCTTTCGAATTGCATCCTTTTATTTTTTAGCAGCAAGGTTTATTAAAATATATTCACACAAGAAATATTGTAAGAAAGAATGCTGTTTTACTAGAGCATTTGTGAAAACAATTGATTTATTAAATACAGCGGATCAGTATTAGAAAGGATGTCCCCCTAGTTAGAAATTTATTTTTTCCCACAAAAATATTTTTAAAAACAGAATCGTTTTACAAAACGTTAACAAACTGAACATGAATTTGGCTACCTGAATAAAAAATTTGGTCCAATCTATTGGCTTAAACTTGAATACTTAGACGAAAATTTGGTGAATGTTGGTCTGGGAGTCGGTGAAATGTTGCACCACGGTTATTGAGTCCGTCTACTCTCATGGGTTTTGATGTTACATAAACTTGTTTCGGCTTTAAGGAATTATTTCCCACTGAAGATGACGCAAAGCCGAAACGCATTGTGTACCAGCAAAACCGAGCAAGTTCCGGTCCCACTTACACGAAAACTTGAGTAAACGTGAAAACAAGAATGGAACACTGAAAAGCAACAAACTGGTTACCCTCGTTTTTTATTAAATACTCGCAATCTTTCAGTTTTTTTGATCACTGAATATTTCTAAAGAAAAGTATAAGATATAACTAAATTTATAAAAATAAACTGTGTAAAACAATTTTACCAAAAATGTTCCTATGGTTACAATGAAGAAAATATTCAATTCAGTATAGAGTATTTTCTTCTCTTGCTTGCATTCAATGTGGCATTGATTTTACGAGGTTTTGAATGTAGTGTTGTGGAATAGTTTCATACTCCTCCAACAGCACCATTCTTCATTCCTGCAAATTCTCTGGCATCACTGGGCGACTTACTCTTTTTGACAACTTGACCCGTAGGTGTTTAAGTGGGGACTATATGCTGGCCATTTCAAACATTGAATCGAAGCCCACTCCAATTAATCAGGAACGATCCGAGCTTGCATTGTCATGCATACAATTAAAACCTTCCCCAATTAATCACATATAAGGAAGAACGTCTTCCGGTAACTCATTTTCAGTGTATCGCGCAGCTGTTGGAGAGCCCACCATGAAGATCAAGGCTGTGCGACCTTCCATAGAATTACTGCCCAATCCATAACACCACCACCTCCTTAGCATCTTCGGATTGAAATTGTTGTGGGCATATTTCGCTCTTCTGTGCTTCTCCAAACCCATTCTCAATCTTCAGAAGACCTCAACCAAAACCTTGACTCTTCCGAAAACAAGTTTTTAATCCAATCTTGCTCAGATCATCACCAATTCATGCTGTTTCTTGAAAAACTTAACTGAACTGTTCTAAGCCTTGTCAGTTTTCGCCCAGTG